ACCTCTTGATTCCACCACCAACTCGCTCGTATCTAGCCACAAGTTACTTAATAATATTAATAAGTGCTAAATGAAACATTTCTAATGCATGAAAATAAGTTTTCTAAAGTTTTTCCCAAAAAGTCAAAAATCGACCCCGATCCCGCTTGGTCCAAACCCGTAATTCGGACCAAAACCCGATTACCCATTCACCTCCGAGCTCGGATATATAATTGGTTTTGGAATCCCACCGCAATTTAAGGTCTAAATCCCCAAATTTCAATATTCTTAGGTTTTACGCAAAATTTCCCAATTCCACCATTAAAACCCTAGATTCTAGGATGAAATCTTGTAAAAAGAAGTTAAGGAGTAAAGAAAATGAGTTAGAAATCACTTACTAATATTTTGGAGAAGAAAGGTTGTTTAAATCGCCTCTTATGTTTTTGGAGTTTTGAAAAATGAAAAATAACTGAAAATCCAGTTTAAATATACCTCTCTCAGACCCCCTGTGTGAACCGCACAAAAAAGGAATGCGACCGCGGAGCTCACAATGTTGACTGCAGTGATATGCTTTAGTATTTTGGCCATAACTTTCTCTAAAGATGTCCAAATTGTGATTTCTTTACCTTTATGGAAACTAGACACGAAGAGCTACAACTTTCGTTTTCGAATCATCTCAAAATTCTGTGTAGATCAAAAGACATAGGTTTCCGACGTCAGACCAGTGAAATTCTTCCTCACCGCGGACCGCATAAAAAGGAGTGCGGCCGCAAAGGCCCCTCCGCGGTCAGCACAAAGTCAATGCAGTCAGCACTTGCGGGTTCAGAGATCTACAGCATCTCTAGACCTGCAACAACTATGTTTTAAGCCTAAAACATCCCGGAACCTGCCCGAAACTCACCCGAGCCCTCAGGACTTCAAACCAAACGTGCATACTAGCTCAAAAACATCATATGGACCTACTCGTGGGATCACATCATCAAAATAAATGTAAAATCATGAAATAAACCTCAAAACTCAACATTTTCATCAAGAACTCTCAAAGTTCATAACTCTTTAACCGGAAGTCCAACTCAAGTCAAATAAACTCTATTTTCACCAAATTTCACAATTATCTTTTAAATACTATAACAAGTTTGTACGGGGCTCCGGAATCAAAATACGGGCCCGATACCAATGGTTTCAAACATTAATTCTTTTCTTCATTTCTTAGATAATTCAATAAAACAATTTCTTTCAAAAATTGATTTCTAAGGCTTGGGACCTCGAAATTCATTTTCGGGCATACGCCCAAGTTCCATATTTTACTGTGGACCTCTCAGGATTGTCAGAATACGGATCCGAGTCCGTTTGCTANGTATTACAAAAGTATTAACAGATTACATTTATATTATTTAGATAGTAAATATAAAAGTGATTTTTAATTTTGACCAATGTTTACCTGAAAAGAGACCAACTTTGGTCGCTAATTATCAAGATTTAAAAATTAGCGACTAAAGTTGATCGCAAGTCGCTAATTTTAAATAAGATTTATTTATATTTTATAAAATATTTTAAATAATAATATAATTATTAAACGTTATAACTGGGTCCCAAATTAGCGACCAAAGTTGGTCGCTATTTGCTTCCTCTTTCATAACCGACCAACTTTGGTCGCCTATTTTAAATAATATTTATTTATATTTTATAAAATATTTTAAATAATAATATAATTATTAAAACGTTATAACTGGGTCCCACATTACCGACCAAAGTTGGTCGCTAATTTCAATATTTCTTTGACGAGGCAAGTCTGACCTGCCCGGTCAACATGTAGACCACTTTACCGACCAAAAAGCGATCAACTTTGATCGGTAAATTATTTAAAATAATTATTTAACAATTTTCTCCATATTAGCGACCAACGTTGGTCGTTTTTTTTTTACCAACCAACTTTGGTTGCAAATTTTTGGTCGATAATTTCCAGCTTTCTAATAGTGGGTGCCAAATAAAATGGTGCCACGTAATTGGGACGACAACCGTTCATTTTAAATATATGATCCTCTAGTTACACAGCATGATTTAGAATTTCCCATAAATTATAAAGCTTCTGAGTTGTTTCCTTAACAATACAAATATCACAGACATGCTCAAGGAGTGCCAGCTGCCAATCAATACGATTTTCAATGTTGGAAAAAAAATACAAATTTCTAAGAGAAAACGCAAGATTACTAAACCAGCATTTGACTTTCAATATAACATTCTTTTATGATTAATAGATGTATAAGACTATGCAAAAATAACTATTATAGAAGAAAGTTTGAAATAAGAATATGCGTATAACAACTAACAATATCATGATAAGATCGCATTGAAAGACGAAAATGACAACATATCCATAAAGTAGCATGCGTTTGTAAAAGTATCTTTAGTGACTAGTGTGTGTATAGTAATTATTAAAACTAGTTCTTAAATTTGGTGTCAAAATTTCTGTATAAATTTCATAGGCAGAGCCAGGATTTGAAATTATGAGTTCGGACATCTAATTTGTTTAAGTTACTGTGTTCTAAATTAATAAACTATACACATGCAATGAATTTTTTAAGACAAATATATAGTTTGGACAAAAACTACTGAGTTCGACCGAACCTGTAGTTTGTGTTCTTGCTCCGCCCATGTGTATAATAAGTCTTATGACTAAATGATATTGCATAATAATTTACTTAATCGTTACGTTCACCGCATAAAAAGTTATTGGTTTATAGCCTCTATATCTCTAGTCTATTAACCAAACATCCTTCCGTAAAAAAAGTATTTGTCTTATTACAGTGATGGTATATTTTGATTGGTTATAGCAATTTTTTTTTATATTTAATGATTAGATTACTATAAGTGATTACTTATAATTGCATGTTACATTTGAAAACAAATAATAGTATACAATCCGTGCATAAAACTTAAACTTGTTAAAAAGAAAAAAGGCTAGCCCCCGCTCTCCACAAATTTGCGAAGTTATCAACAACATCATTTTATTTTCCGTGGCTGCTTATTTATGAAAAATACCTTGCAGTAGCAAAAGCATTATTAATGGCTCTAAAAGCTAAGCTTATATACCACTCATGATATATATATATAGAGAGAGAGCGCGCGGTTCCACCACCAACGGTATAGTGCGGTACCCAAAAATCCAACACATTATGAGACTGCCTCTGCACTAAACCAGTTCATAACTAGAAATCTAAATGTTTTCATAGCTTCTCTTTAGATTCTTTTGGCTACTCTAGAGGTGGACCCAAGAGTAAAATTTAATGGTTCAAATTCCATACTTGTTGAGATTTTGGTAAATTTGTAAAATTAATGTACGTATTAGGTATCAAAAGTTATAAATTCAATTGGACTTGTAACTGAAGGCTACATCTGCCCCTCCACTCCTACAGTCCCACTAGTTACTATCGTTATGAAATTTATTTGAGACTTGAAATAGTGACGGATCCATAAATTTAATTTAAATAGACTATAATCTTTAAATACTATTATTGAATTCATTATATTTTAAAAATTATGGGTTTAAATAGTATTTTTAAAAGTATTGTGATGTTTCACATATATTTTTATATTTCGCGTAAAAAAATACTGAATTTAATTGAATCCGTTATTTATGCTCTACATACGCCATGGTCCAAATGGCTTTCTTGGGTCTTTGATCAAGGTCCTAAGATAATTCCCTTATCTTCCAGTTATGGATTTTTTCAAACTGGAAATATGGGGAGTTCAACAATTATCGGTCGAAGTTCAACAATTATTAGAGGGAATTTCAAATGAATGGAGTTTTAAACTTGGGTGATATTCAGAATACTGACTTCGGAAATGAAACAAATATGAGTAGTAGATATCTGCAAGAGTTTTGCAGTAAACCATCGCCAAACAAATTCACCTATATACGTAATAGTCTAGAGCACAGATAGGATAACACTAGGAGTCTTTTGCTTGGTTAAATTAGTAAAATTAAATCTCCACATAAAGTTGAGCATTGCTAAAACAATGTTTATTGTCATCGTTTTCTAAATAATAATAGTACTTGATTAACTTATGTGTGTTAGGCTTTTGTTTTAATGATGAAAAATAATATAATTGATTTTGGTGTAGGGACTCAAAGAAATCAACCAAGATCGAAGAGAAGCAATCAAAGCTGAAGGAATAAATCAATCAGAGATTGATTGAAGCATTCAAAAGGAAAAGAAGCACCGAAGATCCGGCAAAATTATCGATCAGAAGCTATTACTAGAAGGACATACATTTAAGGAGCAAATCCGGCAGCTATCAAGACTTAAAGATGAAAAGCTGTCGAAGTCCACACATCAAGGAAGAGTAACGAGAATTAACCTTATTCTTGGAAAGAATCAATTTTTTCCAATGATCAAATCTCTTCAGTATGAACGGTCTCCTACAAAGTATTTATACGTAACCTTAAGTCGTGGAGAGTCATACTTTGATCAAATTAAACCAATTACCCTCTCTTTGTTCTACTTCAAACAAAAATTGTAGCTCTATTAGATCTGTTATGTAACAAGTTAGAGAAGAAAGAGAGAAAAATATTGGTGACGCATTGTATCAAGAAACGACGAGTGACATAAAAACTGAGATGTTGGTGTAAACTACACCATTCACTTTGTACTCAAGAAACTCAATCACTAAAAGAGAACTCTCTTGCAACCCAATGAGACTGAACTAGGATTCACATTGAATCCGAACCAGTATAAAACTCTGGTGTCTTTAATTCCTGCACTTTACTTCTGCATTTTAATTCTGCACCTCTTAATATCTATTACATCTGGTCGACTAGTTGGAAAACTAGTAAACTTATAAGTAATAATTATTTTTTTAAACAAGCAATTCACCACCCTCTTGTACTTTCAATGTGGGAAGTTATATATTAATATTTTATACGGGATATAACCTGAAATAAGAGATTACAACTATAGGTTAATATATAATAACACATTGATTAGATAAACTAAATAACAAAACTAACTTTCATAATATTAAACAAAACACACACCATCTTAGATTACACGTACATTAGTAATTGTTAATACATCAAACCAAACATCAAACAAGAAATACACATTACAATCCCTACATTAATATTAATTCAGGTTTAACTTATTATCTCAAAACCAAACGTCCCCGCTAAGTTACAACCCTATAGCCATGTTATGAAATAGCTAAGGTTATTCGACCATTATCATAATTGATAAGTGAACTAAAGCAGCTTACAAAGAAATACTAAATAAAAGCTACTTAGTACACATAACACTCTAAACTAGAGATATGAGGCTTAATAGGACTGAAGAGGACGATGACCATCTGCTGGCTTTGGAGAAGGTGGTGATAGAGGCTTACGATTCCAGTATTTTTCATCGGAGCTCGTGTCAAAAATATCTACAAGATCGTGATTAAAAGACGACGAACTGATCAGTTTCCACACATATGAGACAGGCAGAAGGTATGAGATGGACAATTTCTTGAAACTTGCTAATTGGTAATTGTCTGATGAAGTTAGAAATGGAAACAGCTGATTACTGTTTTCCCCTTGAGCAATTGTTGTCATAACGAGTTCAGTGTTTTCAGAGGTTTTCTCATCAGTGCGAGTAGGAGAGACACTGTTGGATACTTCCTTGCTCGGGGGAGATGAAGCTGGAGATGGTGGTGGTAGATTTGTACCCCTTCCATAACCAGATCCTACGTTAAGCCCCTCATGATTTTCTGCAAATCCAGGAAAATAATGTCGTGTCAGTGGTAAAGACCCTTCTACAAGTGCTGTCACATATTTATATATATATAGGGTTTTGCTTCCAAAAAAAAAA